TATAATAATTAAAAATATATATAATAATTAAAAAATAAAAATAACAATTAAAAAAGGAGAGAAGGAAGAGGGAAAATGTGGAGCCCTTTGCAAAGGGGAAGGAGCTGAATGGCAATGGGAATTTCTCCTCTCAGATTTACATTCCAGGTAAAAAAAGCTGGGAAAAAAAGCCGGCTCTGGGTGTCATTCCAAAGTAGCTGGAGCAGTTTCCCCATCCCCAGAAAACCACCTGGGAGCGGCTCCAGACACTTCCAGGAAGGAATTCCAGCGGATTTTGGGGCGGGAGCCGGGCAGGAGCCTCCGGCTCAGCGGCTCCAGGCGGAGGAGAAAACCGGGAATTGGCTGGATCACGCTGGAAAAGGGCACATCCCAAAAGGATCCGAGCCAAGCATCGAAAGGGGCGGGAATTCCCAACCCCTTTTCCCAGATGTTTTCCCACCTCCCAGACTTCCATGCTCCATGTTTGATGGGATGATGCAAAGGGAGGAGCTGGGAATATCCACCTTGGAATTTCAGCTGGATTTTTATCCCTTTCCCTGATTTTTATCCCTTTTCCTGGGTTTTTAGGTGCAGGAATTCCCAACCCCTTTTCCCGAAGCTTTTCCACTTCCCAGACTTCCACGCTCCATGTTTGATGGGATAATGGAAAGGCTGGAGCTGGGAATGTCCCCCTTGGAATTTTACCTGGGTTTTTATCCCTTTCCCGGGTGTTTTTATCCCTTCCCTGGGTTTTTCAGTGCAGGAATTCCCAACCCCCTTTCCCAGAACTTTTCCCACCTCCCGGACTTCCACGCTCCATGTTTGATGGGATAATGGAAAGGGAGGAGCTGGGAATGTCCACCTTGGAATTTCAGCTGGATTTTTATCCCTTTCCAGGGTTTTTATCCCTTTTCCTGGGTTTTTATCTCTTCCCTGGGTTTTTCGGTGCTGGAATTCCCAACCCCTTTCCCAGATGTCTTCCCACCTCCCGGACTTCCATGCTCCATGTTTGATGGGATAATGGAAAGGGAAGAGCTGGCAATGTCCACCTTGGAATTTTAGCTGGGTTTTTATCCCTTTCCCTGATTTTTATCCCTTTCCCTGGGTTTTTATCCCTTTTCCTGGATTTTTAGGTGCAGGAATTCCCAATCCTTTTTCCCAGATGTTTTCCCACCTCCCAGACTTCCATCCACCATGTTTGATGGGATAATGGAAATGGAGGATCTGGGAATGTCCACCTTGGAATTTCAGCTGGGTTTTTATCCCTTTCCCTGATTTTTATCCCTTCCCTGGGTTTTTAGGTGCAGGAATTCCCAACCCCCTTTCCCAGAATTTGTCCCACCTCCCGGACTTCCATCCTCCATGTTTGATGGGATAATGGAAAGGGAGAAGCTGGGAATGTCCACCTTGGAATTTTACCTGGGTTTTTATCCCTTTCCTGGGTTTTTATCCCTTTCCCTAGATTTTTTATCCCTTCCCTGGATTTTTAGGTGCAGGAATTCCCAACCCCCTTTCCCGGAAGCTTTCCCACCTCCTGGACTTCCATCCTCCATATTTGATGGGATAATGGAAAGGGAGAATCTGGGAATGTCCACCTTGGAATTTTACCTGGGTTTTTATCCCTTTCCCTGATTTTTATCCCTTTTCCTGGCTTTTTAGGTGCTGGAATTCCCAACACCCTTTCCCAGAATTTTTCCCACCTCCCAGATTTCCATCCTCCATATTTGATGGGATAATGGAAAGGGAGGATCTGGGAATGTCCACCTTGGAATTTCAGCTGGATTTTTATCCCTTTCCCAGGTTTTTATCCCTTTCCCTGGGTTTTTATCCCTTCCCTGGGTTTTTAGGTGGAGGAATTCCCAACCCCTTTTCCCAGAATTTNATAAGAATTAAAAAGTAAAAATAATAATTAAAAAAATTAATTATAATAAAAATAAAAATAATAGTTTAAATTAAAAATAATAATGAAAAATAAAAAGAAGAATTGAAAATAATAATATATAAAATAAAAAATAATAATTAAAAATAAAAATGATAATTAAAATAATAATAAATAAAGTTAAAAATAACAATTAAAAATGATAATTAAAATAATAATAATAATTAAAATTATAAATGATAATTAAAAATAAAAATAATAATTAAAAAGTAAAAGTAATAATTAAATAATTAAAAATAATAATTAAAAATAAAAATAATAATAAAAAAGTAAAAATTACAATTAAATAATAACAAAAATAATTAAAAATAAAAATAATAATTAAAACTAAAAATAATAATTAAAAAATAAAAAGACTAATTAAGAAAAAGAGAGAGAGAAGGAGGAGGGAAAATGTGGAGCCCTTTGCGAAGGGGAAGGAGCTGAACGGAACTGGAACTTTCTCCTCTCCCATTTCCATCCTGGCTCCTGCCAGGTCAAAAAAGCTGGAAAGAAGCCGTTTCCCGGGAATTTCCGCGCTGGAAATGCCTCTGGGTGTCATTCCAGAGCTGCTGGAGCAGCTTCCCCAGCCCCAGAAAACCACCTGGGAGCGGCTCCAGACACTTCCAGGAAGGAATTCCAGCGGATTTTGGGGCGGGAGCCGGGCAGGAGCCTCCGGCTCAGCGGCTCCAGGCGGAGGAGAAAACCGGGAATTCGCTGGATCACGCCTGGAAAAGGGCACATCCCAAAAGGATCCGAGCCAAGCATCGAAAGGGGCGGGAATTCCCAACCCCCTTTTCCCAAAGTTTTCCCACCTCCTGGACTTCCACGCTCCATGTTTGATGGGATAATGGAAAGGTTGGAGCTGGGAATGTCCACCTTGGAATTTCAGCTGGATTTTTATCCCTTTCCCAGGTTTTTATCCCTTTTCCTGGGTTTGTATCCCTTTCCCTGGGTTTTTATCCCTTCCCTGGCTTTTTAGGTGCAGGAATTCCCAACCCCTTTTCCCAGATGTTTTCCCACCTCCCAGACTTCCATCCTCCATGTTTGATGGGATAATGGAAAGGGAGGAGCTGGGAATGTCCCCCTTGGAATTTCAGCTGGATTTTTATCCCTTTCCCTGATTTTTATCCCTTTCCCTGGGTTTTTATCCCTTCCCTGGATTTTTAGGTGCAGGAATTCCCAACCCCCTTTCCCAGATGTTTTCCCACCTCCCGGCCTTCCACGCTCCATATTTGATGGGATAATGGAAAGGGAGGAGCTGGGAATGTCCACCTTGGAATTTCAGCTGGGTTTTTATCCCTTTCCCGGGTTTTTATCCCTTTCCTGGGTTTTTATCCCTTCCAATTTCTTAAGGATACATAAAATTCTCCCGGGATAAACAACCATTTCCTTAAGGATAAATAAATTTTTCCCGGGATAACCAACTCATAGTCCAGTTTTTTAAGGATATATACAATTTTTCACGGGATAAAAATCCCATAGTCCAGTTTTTTAGGGATATATAAATTTTTCATGGAATAAACAACCCATAGTCCAATTTTTTAGGGATATATAAAATTTCTCCTGGGATAAACAACCCTCAATCTAATTTCTTAAGGATAAATAAATTTTTCC